CAGGGTTTTAGCCATCACCATGATGGGTGCAGGATGTCAGTTTGCCCATCTTTGCCTGAGCTCCTGTGGAAACGCTCTGATCAGCTGTTCTTTTATTACTTCCTTTCTGGGCTGGGAGGTGGGGGCAAGGTGTGCAAGGGTTGCTGCCTAGATCCACTCTGCCATCTTCAGTGGAGGGAGAAAGAATGTGGTTACATTCTCTTGCCTCTTCAAATTTTAGAGCTCTTTCCTTTGCTCCAGAAATGTGGCTAGATGATGGAGAGTCAGCAAGATCCAGGAAGTCCAGGTTTCTGCCTTTCTATAACATCAAATCACTCTATACATTCCACTTAGCAGGGCCCAGGAATTTACATTTCTCTTGAATGAAGTCCTTAATCATTTCCCTGAAAGTCAATAGTTCTATTTCCTGGCTTCCAGGGTGCTCAGCATTCTCCTTATGAATCTTCAAGTGCCTGTGTAGCAGAGAAACATGTGCCTGCTAGCACAGAAGAGCCTAGAAATAAATCCAAAGAATCTATTGCTATTTTTATCTCAAAATTCATGCATTATATAATAAATGGTAAAAATATTAAATGTAATTCTGCACCCAAATGAGTAATTTATTGTAAAAATAATTTTTATATCATATGTTGTCATTGTTTTCATAATTTTTCTTTCATTTATAGTTGGGAAAATTTTGATCATTCTTTTTAGTCAGAAAGTCCACCTGAGACATCAGCAATATCTAAAAATTTTAAGATTATATCTTAGTGCAACGGTTCTATTCATCCTCCAAGTTACACTACCCCTAAAATCACTGGTTTATGAATATGCATATTATCTGAATGTATATATTAGTGATCAGAAATATTAAATCTTTCAAATTTATAGACCTTGGTGGCATTTCCTGCTCCTTTATTTTTCCATAGTATAATAAAATCTTTTCCTTTAGTGCATATCTCAAATTTTTTACAAAATTTTAATTTTTATGTGTCTTGTCATGAAACTCACTGAGCTCTAACAATATCAATTACCTCCTTCTTGTTAATTCATAATCAAACAAGAATAATGAATTGCACAAGTGTGATGATATTAAACACTTGAGAATCAATTTGGAAAAAGGATATTCTACTTGTTGATATTCCCCAGAGTAGACTTGTGTGATGAAATTCCAGGGGGAGGTCATTATAATTGCTTACTTCTTATACTCTGATGACCTATATCCAGTATGCAAAAAATCATTGCATCAGCCAATTTTTGCAGAGAATTTGGGCATCAACTTCATCAGAGATCAGGGTCAGTGACTCAAAGAATACCTTAGGTCTATCACATCTTCTTACCATCAAAGTCATTTTTTTCTTCTAGAGTAACTAAGAAGAAGAAAAAGAAAAATACTGAACTCTCCATGAGGAAAGAGGGGTAAGTCTTAATCCAAGACCTTGAGTTTTAAAATATTCGGCTGAAGTCTGTCTCTCAGACTTAATAGAAATGTGAATGGTTGTTTTATGTTCCTCCCTGTCCTCATTGTAAGAGTTAAACCTTCTGGTAAGCATAGATTCCCTTATCATTTTCCAGTATCCTGCAGTATTAAATCATGTCAAATGCTTCTTTGTTTACTCATTTCAATCCAGGCAGTGTGAAAGTTTTACTCATTCATTTGGATTTTATATAAACTTATCTGTAAACTTCTTGCAATAGTGATATTATTTATCACATCTTGATTGAGACTTGCTCAGTGCAAGGCACTGTATCAGCCCTGTAAATAAAGCTACAATTAAGTGTAGAAGAAAAGATATTCTGGAATTAGTATATGCTACATAGAGGCAAAAGTAACATGCCCATAGGCACACAAAATTTGTTCTTATTTACTGTGATGTCACTATTAAAGGTACTAAGTAAACTTTAACTATTATATGGGGTTACACAGGATAATATGATAGAGAAAAAGATAAAGAAAAGGAATTATGAGTTAAGACTGAAGACCTACCAAAGGCCCTTTCAGGTAATAGTAATATCTTGATACTTACCTGGACATAGAAGAAAAGCTATCATTTTTTTAATCTACAGAAGCCTTCACTGACCCCCATTCTGTTATAGAACTATAATAACTGTATCCTATAGCTCCTACACAAAGTATTTGCCACAGTGTCTAGTGGGCCTCAGTGTCCCCTTTTAGGTTTTAGTATTCTGAAGATAAAAAGGTTTCTATATAATTCACCCCAATACACAAACACCCACAGCAAATTTTTGCTGAGAAGTATTAAATTTGTTTTAATATCAGTCCACAATCACAGCCTAGAGATATCTTTTTAAAAAATATTTATTCTTTAGTTTTAGTTTTGTTTTAGATGAACATAATATCTTTATTTTACTTTTATGTGGTGCTGGGGATCGAACCCATTGCCTCACACATGCTAGACAAGCACTCTACCGCTGAGCCACAACCCCAGCCTTCTAGAGATACCTTCTTGAAGTATTCTCACCATATACATGTTCATTATTATGAATTCTTAATAATTTACTTGTGGCTTCATTCAAGTTTTTGATAAAAGTTTTTCTTAAAGACAAGGTTAAATATAGTCCTATGGAGTAATAAATCAAGATTTCTGATTTGCAGTTAATCTTTAGATATTTTCTGAGTTCACAAAACTATGAGGTATTGTCCTCTATTTTCAACTTTACCACATAAGATCACATATGTGCCATGTCCATAAGACTATTACAAGAGATTTATCAAATAGTATACAAAAGTACGGATATCCCAGGGCTATTCATTTAGTCTATTCATATGGTTAAGTTGTAAGAATTTACTTTATGTATGTTACATGAAATTGACTTTTCCAATTCTTTGTTTTTTCTTCTTGCTTTTTAGGTTGTGTTCTTTAAGGAAAAAAAATTCATGTCCAATTTTTCTATGTTAGCCTCCAGAACAGTATGTTATCTAGGAAACAATAATCAAATCCAAGGTCACAAAGACTTAGACTTGTGATTTTTTTCTAATTGCTATAGTGTCTAACATTTAGTTCTATGATCCAGTTTGATTATGTGAGATTCAAATTAATTTTTTACATGTAACTATGAAATTGTGCCTAAATCCTATGTTTAAAAACTTATTTTTCCATTTTTTATTCCTATGAAGCACAACAGTCCAATTTATCACAGATGTAAGTTTATTTCTGAATTTTCAATTTTATTTAATTGATATGCATGTCTATACTTACAACAATACAGCACAGTCTTACTGTAACTTTGTTCTAAGTATTATAATGGGTAAATGTGAGCCTTCAAACTTTATTATTATTTTTATTAATTTTTATTGGTGAATTATAACTATACACAATAGTGGAATTCACTGAGATAAATATTAATATATACACATTGCATAATTTAGTCTGTTTCATTCCTAGTATCTCCCATGTCCCGCCTCTCCTCACTCACTCCCTCAATTACCTTCAATTACTCTATTCTATGTTCTTTTATTTTCACTACTTCCCTTTTCTTTCTTCTTATCCCTCTGGTTTCCACGTTAGAGAAAAAATTCACTTCATGCATCTGACTTACCTCACTTTCTATGATATTCTCCAGTTACACCCATTTTTCTACTAGTGACATAATTTATTTCTTTATGCAGACAAAAACTTTAAAATTCTATTAAATATACATAAGCTCTATTAAATTTTCTTTACTAAATCGTCTGTTGACAAACATCTAGGTTGGTTTATTTATGTAGCCATTGTCACTTGCACTGTTATGAACATGTGTTTGCATATATCACTGTAATATGTGGACTTTAACTCTTCTGGATAAATGGGCCATTTGGTGGTTTCACTGCTACTCTTTTGAACCTTCATATGAATCCCCATAATACTTGTACTAATTAACAGTCTCATATTTACAGCATTTAATTTTTTTACATTATTAATGATTGGCATTTTAACTGGTGTGAGACAAGACCTCAGTGTAGATTTGATTTGCATTTCAGTGATTGCCAAAGATGTTAAATTTTTGCATAATTTTTTTACCCATATATATTTTTTTAAGAAAAGGGAAATGTAACTCTATTTTTCTATTTCATATTTGCTTTAGTTTCCTGAGTTCCTTGTATTGTCATAGAAATTTTATGATAAACCTTTCAAGATCTGAAAATAACAGAGCTCGGATTTTGATAGGAAATACACTGATTTTTGCAGAAAAATTTTGAGAAATTTCACTTTTTGAGAAAGTTTCTTCTTCATTTCATGAAGATAAAATGTCTTTTCATATATTTGTCTTTAATTCCATTTATAATGCTTCTAATTTTAAATGAAGGCCTTGAATTGGTCTTTTTAATCTATTCCAAAGTATTTTATTATTTTCCATGGTATTGTAAATAATTTTTTATTGTTCACAGCAAGTTTATAGGAATAAAATTCTGTTGGACTTCTTGTCTAAAATCATGCTTAAATTTTAATTACTGCTAATACAACTTTTTACAACTTTTTACAGGCCTTTCCATAATGAAGATTATATCATTAATAGAAGTAATGTTACTTCTCTTTTTCCAATGCAGATATCTTTTAATTTCATGTACTAGGCTTATTGCCCTAGCAACACCACTTAGTATAATGTAGAAAAACAGTGCAGAGAATAGATATCTTGTTTTGTTTAATAATGTTTAGGATACAGTTTTTCATACATTTGCAATTAAGGGCAGTATTACCTGAGGACATTTGTGTAGGTACTTTATTATTTTTACTTTATTAGTTATTTTGTTAGTTATAAGAACAGTTTTGTGAGAGATAAAGGACTAGGTACTATTAATAACAAATCATAAAGCACAAAACAAAATATGGATAGTTCTATTTGATGCTCATTTAGAATTCACACATTACTGGTATCCCAAGGTCTTTGATGACACAGATGAAGTACTGGTAGAAAAACGAGGGACATGGCTGAAAAAACTTGACCTCTGTTTCAAAATTCATTGTGCAACAGATTAATAATATATTACAAAAAATATATTTTCTTTTTAGAATTCCCAGAAGAAAATGGCAGAAGGAAATCATTCTACAGTGACTGAGTTCATCCTTGCTGGATTAACAGACAAACCAGAACTCCAGCTGCCCCTCTTCCTCTTCTTCCTAGGAATCTATGTGCTCACAGTAGTGGGGAACCTGGGCATGATCACACTGATTGTGCTCAGCTCTTACCTTCACACACCCATGTACTATCTCCTCAGCAGTCTCTCCTTCATTGACCTCTGTCAATCCACTGTGATCACGCCCAAAATGCTGGTGAACTTTGTGACAGAGAAAAACACCATCTCCTATGCTGAATGCATGACTCAGCTCTACTTCTTTGCAGCTCTTGCAATTGCAGAGTGTCACATGTTGGCTGCAATGGCATATGACCGTTATGTTGCCATTTGTAACCCCTTGCTTTACAATGTAACCATGTCTAATCAAGTATGCTCCTGGATTGTGTTTGAGGTATATACCATGGGCTTGATTGGTGCAACAGTTCATATAGCCTGTATTCATAGCATGCTTTTCTGTGAAGCTATGATAAATCATTATGCTTGTGATCTTTATCCTCTACTGGAGCTCTCCTGCTCCAGTACTTTCATAAATGAGATAGTAGGTCTGTGCATCAGTGCATTTAATATATTTTTTCCAACCCTGATAATCCTTAGCTCCTACATCTTCATCATAGCCAGCATCCTGCGCATTCGCTCCACTGAAGGCAGAGCCAAAACCTTCAGCACCTGCAGCTCCCACATCTCTGCTGTTGCTCTTTTCTTCGGTTCTGGTGCATTCACGTACCTCCAGCCATCCTCAGTCAATTCTATGGACCAAGGGAAAGTGTCTTCTGTGTTTTATACAACTGTTGTGCCCATGCTGAACCCTGTGATCTATAGCCTGAGGAATAAGGATGTCAAAGTGGCCCTGCGTAAGTTCCTTGGAAAAAGAAACTTCCTGTAAAAAAAAAAAATGCTTTAGAAAAAATTTACAATTCCTTGCTGTTTGATAATGAAATGATCCAGAGATAGCAATGAATATTCACAAGAAATAGGATTAGTGAGAGTTCTTGATTGTTTGGAAGAATGGTACCAAGGTTAAATTAGAATCCCAGTAGACTCATGAAGGACAGTGTTCCTCCTGGAGGCCCCAGAGTCTACCTACCCCCAAATAATCTGAATTACTTCTAAATATTCTTAAGAATCTTCAAATCCCTCCAGAGGCTTGATAATGCTTTATACATCTGTAATATGGCTCTTGTCAGGCAATATTCATTTAGTTTCACTCAGAGAATAGATAGGTTTGGTCATATCCTTTGATATTGTCAATAATTTGTGTACCTGGCCATTTTAATGAAGAGTGTTGACAAATATTTCTGAAAGTATGAACTCTAAAATAAATAAATTAATCTATTTGGAATAAAAAATATGATCCATAATTCTTACCAGTGTGTAGAACTAGGTCAGGGTATCTGAGTCCGATGGTGGGTAATAAGATACTGCTGACCCAGAAGGAAACAGAAATGTCATGGAAGAGGTTGCCAGTGATAAACAAAGCTTAATATTGTATGTGAATATTGTATGTTTTTCACATATATGCAACATTCCTTACTAGACAAGAAATTGTGCCTTTATTTCCTACCCATGGAATAGAATTTCTCATTTACGAGTGTTATTCTCTTACTATTGCATTCACACAAAAAATTTAAATTTGTACAATTGCATCCTTCAAGGGAGCTGAAAAGGTGAATAGCTGCCAACAAATTCTTTTATTCTTCATGCCCAAATAAGTTCCTGCTGGTGCTCTTGAAAACAGCAGACAGAAAACTAGTTCTCCTGAGAGGTAATTGTCCCCATTAGTCAGTCTTGGTAGACTTCATGGCACCCATCAATTGCTCAGCATCCCTGCCTTCTCCTGACGGTGGTAGTAGCACAAAGATATTCTCTCCTACTCTCTCCATAAAAGAGTCTCAAAGATTCATGGAGACCAGATATATGTGTTTTATGTAGGAGCCGCTTGTAGATGAAATGTCAGGGTTATGTTCTGTCTTACACCTCTAAGCTTCAAAGCCTTGAAAAAAATGTTGCATGAAGGAGGCAAGCCTCATGCCTCCAAGTAACATCATGGGCCTCTTTCTAGCTCTCTGTTATGCTATGCCCACAGGCAGAGCACTTGCCACTGCTTCTTTACCCAATATGAGCATTTCAAGTCAGTTACGTTTTATTTTTAGAATCATTTGTCTTATCTAATAAGCATAAGACATTGCTTGCATGTGTGTGCCCCCCCCCCCACAGAATGTTGCCTTAAACCAGAAGATGAACCGGGAGTGGTTCTGTTGCTTATCATAGATATTGTTTCCTTTAACTTGTTGCTGTACTACACTACATGTTGTTTCCATACACTGTATCCAGATACTTCCTTCAGCTCCACCACCTGGCCAACAGACACATATCATATGGAAAGGGAAGGGAATGTCCCCTGAGTTTAGAACAGTGAATGGAAAAAATGGACCTCCCCTCTACCTATATTGCTTTGATAAGGACTTAGTCACACAGACAGACTTGGAAGCTGAAATAGGGGCTGAGAAATGCTATGGATATCTGGCAACGTGACAAACTAAGACTCAGGGCGTTAGTCTTTGAGGAACAAAGTTAGAGTGACTGACAGGAGTGAACCATTATTCAATGCTTGTATTAACCAGAGATGACTTAATTTGGTTCTCTAGAATTTAAAATTTTGTATTAACATTTCATCTATACAGAATATTAAATATGAATGTAAAAATACACTATTTTAACATCTTTTAATCTCTACTAATAAGGTGCAAGCCATATCAAGCAACAAAGTCCCTATAATACCCCCAAAACTCTACTTATTTCTAAGAACTTGGCTTCATTCTCACAGCTTTCCTACCCTGTCATAGCTTCCTGATTTCATTTTGTCTTTGGATATTTTCACAACTTTCAATATAAACACAAGTATTTAATTCTCAGGCATTTCTTACCACCCCAGGCAATAAATGGGCACATCTCTGGTTCATCCACATATTAAATAATGATGTCTCCACTGGTTTGACTTACCATTCATGATTGCTTATTGGTTCTACTTATAAAAATGTCTAATCTGATGAAAAACTTTGTGTACATATACAAATTAATTTGAAATTAATATATTTGCACCAGAGAAATGAAAGAAAAACTGTATATGAGATTATAACACAAGTTTATCATATTATCTTGTAAAAAAATACTGTTTTGTTATTTTCAATTATTAAAACTTTTGGTTACATATACATCCTATTTCCAGTCCTAATTTTTGATCATTATTGATGAACAACATATGTTATGGGACTACAAATGATTTTACTAAATTTTTGCCCTTAAAAATTAAATGATAGACTTTAACAATTCCCCAAATACTTTTAAACACCAAATTAAATGTCCATATCTGGAAAAAATATGACAAATTTCAGAGTAAATTTAATTGTAAAAATAGTCCAATTTTTTGTTTCAAAATTATGTAATATTTATGAACATTGGGTGCCGCAGTCTGGCTGGGCACAAATCACGAGCCACTCAAGCAGGAACAAACTTTATTTCCCGAACTCCCTTGAACACCACCCACGCGGCCCTCCTAGGCACACCACACACCAACGGGAACTCCCTCACCCAGAACTTCACCAACCAACTAGAACTCTTCAGGAACCCCCCCTCCCCCAGAGCTCAACTAGAACTCAACGGGAACTCCACGAGAACTCAAAAGTCATCTTAATGGCTCGCTGGCATGACCTCTCAACCATTACTTCTAGCAAAATGCGAGGCATCATCCTGACTTGGCTGTGGCCCCTCAACAATTGGGTAAATTATTAAATAAATTTTACTCCATAATAGTTTACATAAAAATAATTTCAATGATGCATTTTAATTATTCCTCAAAATTTCTTTTTTTTCATGAGGAAAAATTAGGACATTTTTCCATTCTAGTCTTGTTGGGCACTTCTTGCAGGTATGTATCAATATACAGAATTTTAGCAGAGAATTAAATGAAACCTGTTTTTATTTCATGTGTAAGAAATACTGTTTAATGGATCTATGACATTAATTGAATATAATTAGTACAGGTGAATGAAAATAGAAACAAGTCTTAGAAACTTTGCTTATATATTATACTTTTATATTTTTCTTTCAAAAGAAATAACTTTAGACAATTGTCTCAAAATATTCCTGAAATTTTTAATTTTAAATGACTGTCATAAAATTCACTAGAACCCCAACAATACCTTTCATACAGTTTTTAAAAATCCAGAGTCAAATAAGAACATTGAAAATACTAAATGCTTGAGAACCAAAGTGAGAAAAGAAAATCCTAATTTTTGATTATCCTCAGAGTAGGCACTTGTGAGATGAGACTCCCGTGAGGTTGTTACCTTTGTTTGTTCCTAATCAGACTCTGATTATCTCTACGAAGCATATAAAATCATCACATCAGCCAACTTTTGCCAAGTGGCAAGTAGCTTTGGGCAGGAACTTCAGCAGAGATCAGGATTAGTGATGCAAAGGATACCTTTGGTCTGATACTTCCTCAGATCATCAAAATCCTTTTCCTCCAGAGCAAGTGAGAAGAAAAATACATAACACTGGACACTCTGAGAAGAAGGAGTATGTCTGAATCCCAGACCTTGACTATTAGAATCTTCTGTTGCAATTTCTGTCTCAGGAGATGACATGGTTGTTTATGTCTCTTCCTATTTTCATTGTAAGACTACATATCTGGTGAGCATATATTCCCATATTACCTTCCTGTCCTGTGCAGTGTGAAACCATAGCAAACCCTTTTAGATTTAACTGCTTCAACTGAGGCAGGGTGAGGGCTTTGTTCATTCATTTTGAATTTGTATTAACCCATGTCTGTGCTTCTTACAGTAAATTTATTGCTCATCATTTATTGAGACTTGTGATATGCAAGACACGGTGCCAGCACTGTAATGAATTTACAATTAAGTATGGAAGAAACTTACTTACCCACATATCATTGTTTTTAAATTATAGAACAACTTCATCACATCCCAAACAAAAACCTATGCCCATCAGCAGTCCCATTCAGCCCCTCAGTGCCCACAGTCCCTGAAACACACTAAGCTACTTTCTGTCCCTGTGAATTTTCCCATTGTGATACTTTGCATCAATGGAATCATACAATGTATGCTCATTTCTATATGCATTGTTTCACTTGAAGAGTTTCTGGTGCATTCATGATGTGCCATATCTCAGTGCCTTTTTATTGAAGAATAATGTTCCATTATAAGAATATGCTACATTTTATTTATCTATTCATTCCTGAATGAGCATTTGAGTGGCTTTCACTTGTTGGCTCTCATAAGCAGAGCTGCTCTGGACATTCACATACAACTTTTTGTTATGGATGTATGTTTCCTTTTTTTGAGAGTACTTTACACAGCAGTGAAATTTCTGGGTCAGGAGGTAACTCTACATTTCAGAATTTGAAGAACTGCCACAATTGTTTTCCTCAGTTTGCTCCATTTTGCAGTCCCACCAGTAATGGATGAAATGGATAAAGTTTCACGATTCTTCTCATTCTTGCCAACACTTGTTTTTAATCTCTAGTTTTGATCATTAGTTTTCTGATGGATGTGTGTTATTTAGATTTAGATACTAGGTAACCTGCAAAACCTTACTTGTGAGACAATGCAAAAAGTTTAGAGGTTAAGCATTTGGGATATAAGAGCCTTAATCTAATAAGTGTATCAGTCCCCTTATAGAGATAATTGGGCGGTAACTGTAGACTGGTAGGTTGTGACTTGAGGAGGCAGATCAATGGAAGTGTGATACTGGAGTATAAATTTTGATCCCAATAAGCGGCTTGCTCTCTCTCTCCCCCATCTCTCCTTATGGAATTACATGTCATGAGTCACTTCCCTCCATCATGCCTGTTTGCTCTGATGT